GGCGACCAAATCGGTCGGCGTCGGAGGAGATTGAGGAAGGACGAGGACCACGGGTTTGGTCAGGAAAACGACGAGGACTAAATTGCAAAAACGACCTCGTGACAAGAATTACGGGACGGAGGGAGTATATTTTAGCAAGCTCTTTTATTCTAAATTAGTCAAAACTGGGCAAATCATCCAGTATTAGGTTTTTATATATGTGAACGAAAAAACATGATAAAAATATATCAGGCAGTAGCATTATAGCCATAATAAAACATCAAGCAAAGCCCAACAATGATGCGAAGAACGTGTTGCCTTGCAACATCGTGTCAATATTTTACATCTTCCTGAAAGTGATAATGCATCATAGAATTTATACATGCCGAGGCGGAAGCCAGTAGAGATATTTAGGCATTCACCGGAGTTACTGACATGATCCTTCTGTATCTAATTCAGCAATGATTTCTTCGAGTGCGGCGCGGTTCGCTGCGCTGGCTGTGCCACAGGGATTTCGTAGGGGGGATCTCTACTTTTTTCTCGAATATGCACGAGTGTGCATATCATATATTAAAAAAGAAGGGTAAAAGAAAAGCCTCCACCATTAGTTACACGAGTTACAGATTACTTTACTTCTCACACCTATCCCACCTCACTAACCTACTAAAGAAGGGTGCTACATCCCCTTTGAGTAGGCCGGCTGACACCCAAATTTGACCCTCTAGTCTAATTCTACCAAGAAGCACCTCACATGACGGCCGGCTCCGTCAAAGACAATTGCGTTCCTGTGTTTCCATAGTTCCCACAAGCTAAGCCCAAGGATGGTTCGCAAATCTTTTGTACTGGCTTTGTTGGTCCCTACTTGTGTGGCACGTAGGGAAAAAGTGGGTTGTGATTTCTTTGATCAACTCCCACAGCCCAGCTTTGAACACTGATAACCATCGCCATCTTACTGCCTTCCAGCTACACTGGTACAGTATTTCTCAAAAAAAGAAAGAGCTCCAGCTACACTGGTCACACGACTCGAACCACCAATTTTGGTTAGATGGTATAGCCTCCACAGTTATCTTGCATCTGAAGGCCTTGTGCTGCACAAGATAATGATGATCAACAATCTAAACAATCCCCCTCTTGATAAAGACGCCCAGAGAAGAGCCACATACCATAAACAGAACGTGGAATGACATGAGCTAAATAAGCCACTGTGGCGTCTTCCATCTCAGTGGAGCTAAAATGCCGGTCCCTGTCAGCAAGCAGCAAGAACACATCACTGCTTATGCTAACGCCACTCCAACAGATAAGAACAAGAATTACTTGTTACGGAAGCCTGATACACCTGGAGTAGCAAGATTGATTGAAAACTTCGACCCGTAGCTCCCCGTCAGCATAACCATACCTCCAGAATACAAATTAATTAAAAAGTTAGAACCAAAGACAGCAGCAAAGCATGAAAGTGAAACAACACGCAACCATTGTGTAACACTGAACCGAAATGAAAACGCAGATCATAAAGAGGTATACAATCCTGCATCTTAAAACTGCACCCCATAGCAAGCATGATCACTGGTTCTCCACGGCTCCTCCTGATCAATTCACCGGCATCCACTTGCTCTTCATTCCAACCCCACAAAACGACGATAGCCATATGTCTAAAAACACATAAGTTAGCAAGCATCTACACAATTCAAAGGAAGGCCATGATATTCATTTAAGTAAAAGAGCCAGGTCTGTCACACGTAAATGAATGCTATTATTCCAAGGGCTCCAATATTCAGTTGTGTGTAGATAATAGCATGGATACCATGACCCTGCAGCAACAACAACAAAAATCAATGAGCAAATTAGGAGAGCCAAGGCAAAGCAGACTACAAATAGCTAACCATTTAGTTGAACTCACCAACCAAATCCCAAGGGGAAACATTATGCAACACATGGAAGAAAGATACCAGGAGCAGAAACAATGTACAACAAAAAGCACTAATAAACCTTCTTGCCTCCTAAAAGCATATGCAGACACAGGGCCTCAGCATCCCTGCCCTCATCACGATGTTCCCAAAGCCGACAAACTCTCACACAGATACGCCCATCCTGAGAAGTATCATTCAGATCTCTCACAGCATGTACTCCATCAGTC